ATTCGGATGGCGAGTGCACAGAAGAAGATGCATCGTTGCAGTGGCTGGCTTGCGGAATTCCATGCCCACTTCCGTTCCCAAGGGAGAAATTAGATGGTACTTTCACTGGGCTTGCGATCGCGGTTCTGGCATTCCTCGGACTCAGCACCATAATTGGCCTTGCCACGATCTTCGTCGTAAAAGGTGACCATAGGAATTTCTTCGTTGCAGGGCGGAGCTTGCCGCTTTTCGTGATGGTCGCGACGCTGGGCAGCCAGTGTTTCGACGCTTCGTCTGCTTTGGGCAACCTAGATTTGGGATACACTTTTCATTGGTGGGATGGGGCTGCGTTCCCCATTGGCTTGGGACTCTCACTTCTCCTGAATGGCATATTTTTCGCGAAGCCGCTCAACGAGATGAAGCTGCTGACGCTTCCGGACGTGTTCCACTACAAGTTCGGGCCAGCTACAGAGGTAGTAGCTTCCATTGTGACGATCATATCGTTTCTGTTCTTGCTGGCAGGTAACCTCGTCGGGTGTGGCAAGATTGTGTCGTTCTTGTTCGACATAGACGACGTCATTGGGATCATGATTTCGACAGTGCTCATTTGGGCCTACAGCGCTGCAGGTGGCCTCATTTCTGTTGCCTACACTGATGTTGCGCAGGCAGTCATTGGTTGGACAGGCTTCATCGTTGGAACAATTTGGATCCAGCAGAACATGCCGAATTACCCTGGGGTATCGCCTGCGTACCCGCTCGGAGATAAGCCAGTCTTCTGGGAAGGCATGAGCGATGCCGACTCTTACGACCCCATCCCGAACGCAATCACATTGAATTGGGCTACGATCATAGTGCTTGCATTCGGCAATCTGATGGCACTGGATTTCCAGGCACGCTGCATGGCCGCAAAGTCCCCAAACATTGCGCGTGCAGGCTGCATAATCGCCGGCCTCATCGCCGGCACGATAGGAGTGGTGAACACTTTCAACGCGGGCACCACGCGTGCCCTGTACGGGCCATCCTCACCCCATGCGGAGTTTGTCGTGAACAGCTGCTCCGCAGACATCACAGTCATTGGGTGCTTCGGGGTCAATTGCAACGCTGTCCCTGTTCCCGGCGTGGGCACTTGCGGAGAGTGGAAGCCGGACCCCCAAGCCACTTTGAAGATGCTCACCTGCTCGCACGAGGATTGCCACCCATTTCTCGATCTCGATGGAAGCGCTGGCTATTCGCCCGGAACTGAGGCCAACTACCCCATCAACAGCTTCATTGGTGGGTGGATGTTGATGGGCATTATCGCGGCTTCGATGTCGACCGCCGACGGGGCTATCGTGGCCATGGGCACCGTGTTCTCCCACAATCTGGTTCGCAAGCTCGGGGGTGCACTGAGCAGTGACGCGAACCTCCTGACCCTCGCGCGCATCTCGACCCTTCTGTGGGCGGCGGTCGCATGCGCCATTGCGACCACGAAGCCGAACGAGACGGGCTACTTCCTGCTGGTCGCTTTCGATTGCGTGCTTGCTGGAGGTGTCGTGCCTTTGTTCGCTGCCGTCTACTGGAAGGGTTGCAAGCCGATCGCGGCCTTCGCGGCGATCGTCGTCGGCTCCATTGTTCGCGGCGTGCTAGAGTTCACCCTGCCAAAAGACGGTTTGCTCTTGCTGGCGGGATCATTCGCCAAGAGTTTCGGACCCGGGGTCATCTATGACCCCAAGTTGGCAGACGCCGTGCTCGTCGAGGGAAGGATCGCGGAAACGTGCCCTCAGGAGAAGCTTGAGGATTGGACCGGAGTCGACTCCCTCGTCTCGCCGGTGGTGTCGCTTCTTGTGCTGCTGCTCGTGCACTTCTTGCCAATCCCGAATCCATCGAGTTGGTGGTTCCAGCCCAACACGACGATCTCCGAGTCCACGGCCGTCGAGGCGTTCAACGACGGGGACGACCAGAAGGCGGAGAGCAGTTGAGGCGGTCATGGCGCTGTGACAGAGTTGCCAGACGTCGATGCCATCATTTGAGGGAGGAGTATTGTTGGCTCGTTGGGTAAGGAGGCAGAACGGGAAGAGGAGGATTACTGTCGGCGTCGCGAAAGCGTTTTTCTTTTTGTGCACAACAGTCGGCAGCCGTTTAAGTTATAAGTTACTCATCCACTTCCACAAATCAGGAGCCCGCGGCGGCTGTCGCTTGGATCACGGAGTGTGTGGTAAGCTGTTTGTTTGCCAGCATCGAGCTTAATTCGTTGAGGAACTCTCAATCGAGATGAATCTTCCTCCGCCCCTTCTGCCGGGTTTTGTCCGCCCAGGGACAGGTAGAGACCGCCTGGTGCCCGTAGCATCGCACGACAGGATGCTTCGTCGAAGTTGAGCTGGCGCGGTGCCCCCAGCAAATCCGCATGCCCATTCGCCGCCACCTCCGAGGGCCCTTCCAACAGACCGCCAGTGCTTGCGGCCCTCAGAGGGTGGAGGCGGCGGACATGGAGGTGAAGGGGGCTGGGGAGGGGGGGGATCATCAAAAGCCGAGTGTCGTTCAAAAATGGTGGCTGCTCGGACGTATCCAAGGAGAGACTACTCGGCTTGATTGAGCAATACGTGGAGTCAACCTGTTCGCATCAGGCCTGTGCGTCCGCACGCTGGCGGAGGGCGTAGAGCGCCTCTCTTCATGCCAGCTCGTTCGGGCTTGTGGTGCGTCATTGGCTCCGACCGCATGCGCTCAGAAGTGTAGAAATGGCGACTCGGTTGGTTGACGAATTCATGCTCTGGGCGCCTCCTCTGCGTGCGCAAGGCGTTGTCGAAAGGGTGTGGAACATCCTCGCGTCGAAAGAGGCGCGGCCGCATGCGAATGTATTCTCCACGGTGTAGGAGGGTGTGGAGCATCCTCCTCATCGTGGCAGGTACTCGATTTCTGCGTCCGTCCTCTTCCGAGGGGCGTGCGGCATTCACAAATTGCATCAGGAGTTGTGGAGGATAGAGGAGATCTGTGTGGCGCCCAGGCACGACTTCGAGCAAATAAATGCGTTGAAGGAAAATGATCTGCGACTTGACAGGATTGTGTGTTGAAGTCCCAGGGAAGTGTATGAGTGATCTTCACCACAGTCCCCGGATGCTCTTCATCTGATATTTCTTGTTGGCACAATTGTGGCCGTCATCAGACGAAGGGTCTGCGCGAATAGTGGGACTCCAATCAGCGAGGAAGGTACGAAAGTCGCCGTAGTGGTTTTCAGAGAGCGACACTTCGACCACATGCCACCAGTTGGCTCAACAAAGACAGAGTTAACGCGGAACCAAACATTGTGGTATATACCAGGGCAACACAGCACCCATCACCGCGTTGGGATCAGTCGAGCGTTTCTACGCTCAGCGCAGCGGTTGTTCCCAGCTGCATCTTCTCTCACCATTGGGTCGTCGCTACAGAGTCCCCACCGATGAGCGGTCGATCCTGCAAAATCGGCGGTATCTTTATTGATTATCCCTGGCGTTCTATACCATATCATATGTCCTCTCCCTTGCTCGTGCCGTTCTGCCCTTTGAAGGGTCCTGCGTCGTCTCCGATGCCCTTTGCCTTGAGTCGCGACCGCTGCAGCAGGTGCCTGCCCGGACATCCGACGTCTTCATTGTTTCAGTACGGGGTCCCCGGAAACCCCGACCCTTTCCCCACATCAGGGAAGCGGAGTCGGGGTAACAGCAGACGGGGTAACAGGAAGCGGCCAGTTCGAGGCAGCACACGCGCACTTTGTTGCATTGCAGTTGTTTTATCGGCTTTCGCGGTCAATGCAGCACTTGCCACATGTTGTCTGCATTGGAAATTTCCAGCCGCTGCACTTGCTCTTTTTGTGTTGGGCTCTCTCTTACCCCGTCTGTGGGGTTTGTTTGCTGTTTTCCGCAGGTAGTTGCAGCACAAATGCAGTGCTTTTCTACATTCCAGTTAATTGCCGTGCAGTTTCTTGTTTTGGCCGTTGCAGCCTCTCTGTCTGGATCACGCACAGGGTACGTTACCCCGTTGAGGTGTTACCCGGTTTGGTCTTCCCTGACCAGAGCCGGTTTTTCGTCCGGGTAAGTGGTGTTTGACCGTCCCCCAGGCCCGGCGAGGGCCACCGGAGAGCGAAAACGGCTAGCAGATGCGAGCATGTGTCTGCACGAACGAAATGGGCACGGAAAGAATGGGTACAATGCCCAACAGCAGTTCCTGTTCATTTTGAACAGGAGTCGCTGTCCGCGCCGCCGCGGCCTGTGTCCACTCGAGACAGAAGGCCGCCTGCCCAACAGCGGCCGCTGTTGGTTTGGAACAACATGTGTTGTTGGGCATTGTACCCATTCTTTCCGTACCCATTTCGGGCGTCCAAAATGTGTTGGGCGGGGGCGCTTTCCTTGAGGTGCACACCCGACGCTCAAAGTTCAGCCGGGCATGTCCCTCTACAGGAGGAGTGGTTAAAAAATAGTTCAAATGGTGTGGTGACGATTGTTCCCCAATCAGAGTTTACCTCTCTAGGGGTCATAGCGGATTCGCATGATTAGGTGAAGTTTGGCGCCGATTTCGGCGGCACGCCCGGGTGCCCGGGTGCCTCATAGCCTTATAGCCCTATAGCCCCATAGTTCTACAGCCCTATAGCCATATAGCCCTATAGCCCTAAAGCCCCAAGGCCCTATTGCCCTATAGCCCTAATAGCCCAATAGCCCTATAGCCCTATAGCTTTATAGCCTCACAGCCCTATAGCCCTAGAGCCCTAGAGCCCTAGAGCCCTAGAGCCCTATAGCCCTAATAGCCCTATAGCCGTATAGCCCTGTAGCCTAATAGCCCAATAGCCCTGTAGCCCTATAGCCGTATTGCCTCACAGCCCTATAGCCCGATAGCCAGAAAGCCTTAGAGCCCTAGAGCCCTAGAGCCCTAGCCGCATAGCCCTGTAGCCCTATAGCCCAATCGCCCTATATACCTATGGCCTTATAGCCATAATCGCCCTTATAGGCTTATAGCCTTATAGCCGTATAACCTTATAGCCCTATAATCCTAGAGCTCTTTATGCCTATAGCCCTATA